TATTAGCCAGTATGGTGGTCCATCTTCTCTATACCTCGGAATGTTTTCCAAGATATCCATAAACCAAGCATTTGGTGTTGAACTAAAGATTTTTATCATGAGTGCTTTCTTTGTTGCCTTAGAAACATAGGGGTCCTTGTTTGGATTCGTCATTTTTACCCTATAAGAAATGGGTTTATTTGGCGCATTAGCAGGAGTTGCATCCAGATTTTTGCCCGCAGTTGGAACAATAGCTAGAGGTGTATTTGGAGTTGGAAGGAAGATTTTGAGTACATTAGGTATACTTAAAGAGAAAGCACAACCTATTATACAAACTGTACAGAAAGGTTGGGATGTAGCACGAGATGCAGCAAATCTTATTCCAAATCCTGAAACAAGAGGAAAAGTTCAAGGATGGATGGACAATGTAGGAAGACAAGCAGGAAACTACTATAACAAAGCAAATGACTACTATAACCAAGCAGGGCACTACATGGACCAAGGTGAAAGATTCTTTAACAGAGGATATAACCATGCACAACAATGGGTAAACAATAACCAACCTCAACCGCCTCAAACGTGGGGAATGTAAATTTTTTACTGAGATGAAATGAACAATACAGCATTGAGACAAATGGGTTCAAGATGGATTTGTCGACTTCCAGCAGTTACACAACCACGTGTTTGTCAAGTCCTCCCTATACCTCAGGAAGTTTTAGACCGACTTAAAAAACCTAAACAACCAGTTGAAAACAAAAAACTAAAATTTTTACTGAGATGAAATGACCGAAGAAGTTGAAACGGTAGATTTGACACCACAAACAAAAAGTTCAGAACCATTGTCAAAACCTGTCAAAGAACTTACAGATGAAGAGAAAATTCAATAATAGAAAGTGCCAGGTCTGGAAATACAAACCCTAACTACAAAGTCACTTTTCATAGAAATGGAACGGCTAGTATCTCAAAAAAGAAACAGACTCTCACAAATAAAATATTGAAGTCTGAAGGAGCTTTCGAGACAACAGATGGGAAGGTATACTTCACCGACCAACAGTTCATTATAGAACATCTCATTGACTTAGAGTCGAAATATTCTAAACTTTACAACAAACACAAAAAGTTGAAAGGAAAACAAAAACAGATGGCATATGATATTTATGAAGATGTTGACGACACAACCATACCTGCAAGTGAGGTAAAGTCAGAGGAACCGAAAAGTGACGAAAAACCGATAGAAGAAGGGGAGCCAAAAACTGAAGATAAACCAAAACCAAAGTTTAGTTTCCAAACTAAACCAAGTCAACCTTCATTAGCTGGTATGGGTTGGCGTCAAAGGCTTCTGGTAGCTGGTGGTTATGTTAAGTAAAGGAAAAAACATTTTTCAAAAAAAATATTTTTTTATTTTATTTGAAATGTACGCTGAGTTTGTTGGAACAGACCGTTGGGAAACTTGTTTGTTAGATGAGAAATATGAAATTCACTGTTGTGAGTCATTTGAAGTCAGAAACAAAAAGACAAAAAGAGTTTTAAGCGGATGGGAGCGAAATGACGGATATGCTAATATGAAGATGAGTGGAAAAAACTATTTTAAACATGTTGTCATTGCAACTCATTTTATACCGAACCCTAACAATTTACCTTTTGTAGACCATATAAACCATATAAGAAACGACAATAGACTTGAAAACTTGCGTTGGGTCACTTGTTCTGAAAACAATAAGAACATAGGCAAATTTCGAGATATTGTATTCGAATTTGTCGACGAACTAGAAGATGAAGCAATTGAAATTACAGACTATGGCGAGCATACGTTTGAGTTTTACTACTATAGCGAAGAACAAGACTCTTTCTACTTTATACCGCGTAAACTATAGGAAATTACAAGTATGTTTTACTAAGGCGGGCTATGCTCATGTAAACGCTAGAGATACAGATGGAAAATACGTTCAAATACATCTTAACAAATTCAAGAAGCTATATGGCATACCATTTTAAAACATTTTTTTATTTTTATAGAAATGCCCCCGTATAGAATGGATAGAAGGTCTGCTAGAATAAAAGCAGAGTTAGAAAGATATGGTTGGAAAGTTTCAAAGAAGTTTAAATATAGGAAGGGAAGACCCATAAAAGTCTATGACAAACTGGCTGGTCTGACCTATGAGATGGACTTGGAAACCGCGCGCGCCAATTATCCAAACAGACTTGAGAGGTTAGAAGAAGAACGTCTTATGAACATACCTTTCAATGTTAGTGAACCTCAAGTTGAAGGACACGACGGCTTTGCCAGGTTCTACTGGAAACATAACGAACAATTGCATCCTTTGAGAAGGAAAAAAGGTAGTGCAGAGGATGGTCATGCTCCTATGGAAAGAACAAGATATGCATATGAAAAGTATCGTGAAGTTAGAAGTAAAATTGGTTCAGGTCAAACCTTTACAGTAAACTTTGACGAAGGAAAGAACAAAGAAGGCTTCATGGAGTACTTGCTGCCATTCAAGACGGAAATAAGAAAGGACACAATCTCAGACTAACAGTAAAAGATTTGGACGGTCATATATACTACTCACATGGCAATGTCACAACAGCTGCAATGCTTCTTGACGCTTTCAAGACTACAAAGAGAGAACAAATGGTTGACTCCGACTCAGACATTTTGAATGCAATTGAAGGAATTGCAAGTGTAAAGTTTGAATGGTACCAACCTAACCCTCGAGCAGTCAGACAACATGTTTGTTAGATGAGAAATATGAAGTAAAAACGTTTACTTTTAAAACCATATATTTTTACATATATTAAATGTTTCAGGTTGAAAAACAAAGAACAAAAGTAGCAGATACAAAACCATTAGACTATATCTTTACAAACGCCGGTAGGACTATATCAGATGAAGAAATTTCATCCGGTGCTTACAGGTTTGACTATCCAATTCGTTGGCTTCAAAGTCCTTCAGATGCAAAGGCAATAGGATTTAGAAGAGTTTTGTTTTCAAATAGAACTAACGCTTTTATGTTTGCAGTATATTTTCATGGGCAGTATGAAGGTTCTGATGGTCTAATAGACAAATTTGATGAAATGAGAATCTTTACAGTTCGTTCAGACGAAAGTCTTGAGAAAACTCTAAATGACTTTCAAACTCAAATAAACAAATACTACTGGGAATTTCAAGAAAAATACGACTCTTTACTAAATGGAACATACTATCTGAAACTAGAATATGACAAGATGAACTCCACAGTTTCATTTCAAAGGATTGAAATTAACCCTCGAAGAAGTACACAGTTTTTATTTTGGGAAGTAGACAAACGTTCTTGGGCGCAATTTCTTCGGTTACTAAACCAGAACGAACCATTACCACCTGACGGTCCGTTTAAATTTATACTTCCACCAGCAGATTTGACAGTTTATAGAAACGTGTTTGACCCTCAAAATGTCATGTGTCATGCAAGTTTCAGTTCAAGCAACAACAGTTTTCTTTGTATTGGTAAGGACTTTTATGACTTTGCTTCTAAATTCTACGAACCACATAGTAACAGTTTCTCTGACTTTCAAGTTTGGTTCACAACAAACGGTGTGCAGCATATTATACCATTGTACTATGACTTTTATCTCGAATTGTCTTTCATATACAACTACGGAAAAGTGCTGAAAAAGTATTGAAAAATATATTTTAGGGTAGAAGGGTATATCTACCCCGTTTTCTACCCTCATTTCTACCCGTTGAATTTTCATGAATTTCCTTAAGACAGCAAAAAAGTGAAGTTAAACGTTAAGGTTTACTGAATTGGCTGAAGAACTGGTTGGATGTCGCCTTCTGAGGTTATGAAGAACGGCCGTCCTGAGAAGTGGAACAGTGCTCTGAGAATTTGTATAATTCGTGGAATTGGACTCTCTCTGTTTGGAAGTTGTATCCATGGGCGCTTTGCAAAGAACTTGAGAAGAGCTTCTTTCTTCATCTCCTTTATGTCGTCTACAGGAGTTTTTTCTGGTATTTGAATTGGAATTCCGGTTTCAATTTCGATTTTCAGCGCACCTCTTCCAGACAACCAGAAGCCGAGGGACTTGTTGGCTTTGTCCTTGCCCAAGTACTGCTTAACAACTTCATTTATCTCTATAAGGTAAATTGCCTCATCTAATGGCTCGACCTCGTCCATTGCTACTGTTTCAGAACTAGTCTTGTACTTTTTCAGAACAATACTTGTACTGTTTCAGAACTAGTCTTGTACTTTTTCAGTACAATACTTGCACTGCTTCAGAACAATACTTGTACTTTTTCAGAACAAGACTTGTACTGTTTCAGAACAATACTTGTACTTTTTCAGAACAATACTTGTACTTTTTCAGAACAAGACTTGTACTTTTTCAGAACAAGACTTGAACTTTTTCAGAACAAATTTCCCGTAAAAGCTCTCAATTTGTGAGAAAAATTTTCTGTTTCAGAACAAGACTTGTACTTTTTCAGAACAATACTTGTACTGTTTCAGAACAATATTTGCACTTTTTCAGAACAATACTTGTACTGTTTCAAGACAATATTTGTACTGTTTCAAGACAATATTTGTACTGTTTCAAGACAATATTTGTACTGTTTCAAGACAATATTTGCACTGTTTCAAGACAATATTTGTACTGTTTCAAGACAATATTTGTACTGTTTCAAGACAATATTTGTACTGTTTCAAGACAATGTCCGACGGTTAAGCCACAAACGAATGTCCGACGGTTAAGCCACAAACGAATGTCCGACGTACCACCAAAAAATATATTTTAGGGTAGAAGGGTATATCTACCCTCATTTCTACCCTCATTTCTACCCTCGTAGAAAACACACAAAACTCTTGAACTTTGTATAAAAAAAGCAACCCGCGGAAAACAGCGGGTTGGTATATTCTTCACAAAATGCTTGTTTTTGAGGTCGAGCCATTTTTGGCTCCACCGTATTTTTAAACCAAACTCGTTCATTTTGTGCTGAAATAAAATAAAGGTAGTCCACCAAAAAATATTTTTATTTTTATTGTAAGAACATGTTTGCAACAACAGCACCAAACTCGTTAGTCATGAACCCAACTTCAATGTTAGTAGAGATGAAAAGCTTCATTCCTTCTTCATATACTTTCGAAACAGAAATCCAGAAGATAAAGCAAGAACTTCTCCAAGGAGATTTAGACTGTAGTGCAAAAGATGAAACAAATGAACAGTATCTTTATGAAATGCAAGATATTATAGACCATTTGCCTAAACTTCCTGAAATACAACAACAAAAACTCACTATTCCAGAATTCGATGAAATTGAAGTCAGACTGACTGACTCAGTAGAAATAAAGAAGTTCATACGAAAGGTAAACTATGAGTTTCTTGGATTTCATTGCAACCACAAAGTCATTGACATATATAAATCTGAAGAATTTAAGACCTACGACAACTTTGTTTCGTTAGTTGCTGAGTGTGTCTTGCAGATAAGAGATAAAGATAGAAGAGGTAAGGTATGGAACCAACAGATAAAACCAGCAACCTTTGAGTTAAAGAAAACCATCTACGCCTTAGTCATACTAGCAGGACAAATTTCAGAATATAACGCAAAAATGAACTCACAATGTTCTAAATGTAAAGCAGCAAAGGAAATATAACTACTCCGTCAAAGAGATAGAAGAATGAGAAAGACCATACTGACTTAAAGAAAGAAAGAGAAACCAGCAGAAGATAAAATGGACATGTTGACATTTCTGAACAAAAACTATCCAACTGCTAACGATTTCCTTCTTTCAGATGTCAAGAAGAAATATAAAGAAACCTTCGGCATAGTTAAAATTTTTGATATCCTTCGTGAAGAAATAGAAGCTACAAAACTGTTTAAAGTCATGAACCATCACAACATATACCATGTAAAACGCTTGTAAAACTTATGGTAGAAATGAGGGTAGAAAACGGGGTAGATATACCCTTCTACCCTAAAATATATTTTTGCTGAATTCAGCACAAAATTCTGAGTAAAATGACATATGGAACACATACTTTTTCAGTAAGGACATATGGGGTAGAAATGAGGGTAGAAAACGGGGTAGATATACCCTTCTACCCTAAAATATATTTTTGTCTGATTTACGCTCATTACGAAGAAGTCTTGACAAAACATTTACGAAGAAGTATATTTCCTGTGTTGTTGTCAAAATGTCATGTTGTCACACTTTTTCAGAGAAGTTCATTTAACCGAGTGACCTGGTCGCCTAAAATATATTTTATTGAATTCAGTACAAATTTCATGAATTTCCTTAAGATAGAAAAAATAAAGTTAGTTTTTTTAAAATATTTTTTTTATTTTGTATGTAAGAACAGGAAATGACAAACACTGAGTTTGAAACAGTTAAAAAGATAGACAATGACACCAAATTGGTTAGAATTGGTGATTTAAACGTAAGATACTCAAAGAAATACAACAAATATTCTTTGTCAGACATTCTAACACTATCTGAAAAGAAAACATCCCACGACTGGGTTAGAAATGCTTCTACTCAGAAAATTTTGACAAAAAATCCTGAGCTTATGATATCGGTAAGATTCTATGGAACAAGAACATATCTTATAGACAAAAGTCTTATACCAATAGTTTTGTTATGGTTAGACCCAGTTGTTGGATATAACTTCATAACATATGGTTCGTTCGATACGGAACGTTGCAGTGAAGGCTTACTTTACATCGTTCAGAAACCGAAGGACTTCAATACAAAAAGATATAAGATAGGAAGAACATATAATATAACTCAAAGATATGACAGTACAGTCAATAGAGTCAAGGTTGTGTTTGTTAATGATATGAGAGCTGCAGAAACAGAACTACTTGAAAAGTTTGAGAAAATGTATGGTGCTCCCATAAAAGGTAAAGAAACGTTTGAAGTAGATGAGATAGGTAAAGCTATAAAATTATTTGACGAAGTTGCTGAAAAATACATGTAAAATAACGTTTACCATGTAAAACGTTTATAAAATAACTGGGGTAGAAAAGAGGGTAGAAAAGAGGGTAGATATACCCATCTACCCTAAATTATATTTTTATTGAATTCAGCAACAAATTTCATGAATTTCCTTAAGATAGAAAAAATAAAGTTAATTTTATTTTTTTTATTTTTTTATTTTGTATGTAAGAACAGAAATGTCAACAACAGAGAACACAACAACTGCTATCGTTCATGAAGCCATAAATGAAGAATACGAGTACATACAGTTTAACAAACAACTCCGTCTCATTCGTTCGGTCAAAGACGATATGTACCAAATGCAAAGTATTTTGACAGCATGTTTTGCTCCAGATACTAAGCTTCCTAAAGACTGGTTTAGGAACCAAAGCACACAAGAACTATTAAATGAAGCACAGCGAGTAGGGAAAAAATCTTACTCGCCTAAAACTCATGAAAACAGTGAAGAACAGCGAGTAGGTAAAAAACCCCAGTCGCCAAAACTCTATGAAAATCGTGAAAAATTGCCAAACGGTTTGAGAGGATATTATGTACATAGACTTCTTGTAAATGCTGTTGCAATGTGGGCTTCGCCTCGTTATGCTTGGAATATTTACAGACTTCTTGACGAAATTCACAGACAAGAACGTGAAGAGCTAGAGAACAAGCTTGAAGCAAAAGACAAAAACATTCAGAAAAGAATACCACGTTCGGTACCAAAAGGAAAGGAAAAGAACTATAAGTATATGATTTATACTGAAGAGATGGAAAATGAAGAAGATAAAGATATGGTTATGTTGCATTTAGTCAGAAGAAACAACAAAAGCTTTTACGACCTTGCTAAGATTTACAAATCTGACAGAAATTGGTTCTATCGCGAAAACTTACCGATTTCAATGACACCGAATGAAGATGTGAAACAAATAGTTCAAGATACTTTACCTCAAACACACTATGATATGAAAGGTTGTACAATACTTACCTTCAAAGAAGATTTGCCATTGTTAAAGGAAAAAATAACAGAGTATTTTGACAACTTCAAACAAGCAGAGTAAATGAACCATTTATTTTTCAAGCTTGACACCAAAGATGGCTCATGTAGCTCTAGATGGTAAATTGTCTTGTCAAATCCTTCTGGCATTCCGAGTCCTTCCATCCGACAAGAAAAGTTCTTCCTTCCGACAGAAAAAGTTTTTCCATCCGACAAGAAAAAATTTTCCCGACAACTGGAAAAAATTTTCCATAAGACAGGAAAAAATTTTCCATCAGACAGGAAAAAATTTTCCATCAGACAGGAAAAAATTTTCCATCAGACAGGAAAAAATTTTCCATCAGACAGGAAAAAATTTTCCATCAGACAGGAAAAAATTTTCCATCAGACAGGAAAAAATTTTCCATCAGACAGGAAAAAATTTTCCATCAGACAGGAAAAAATTTTCCATCAGACAGGAAAATATTTTCCCGACAACTGGAAAAATTTTTCCTTCCGACAGGAAGAACTCTTCCATCCGACAGGAAAATATTTTCCTTCCGACAGGAAAAATTTTTCCTTCCGACAGGAAGAACTCTTCCAGTTGTCCGTCCGTAAACCATTCAAATTTTCGAAAATTGAGAACTTTTTGGTCGAACTTCAGAAAAAGTTTTTCCTTCCGACAGGAAAAATTTTTCCATCCGACAGGAAAAATTTTTCCATCAGACAGGAAAAAATTTTCCATCAGACAGGAAAAAATTTCCATCAGACAGGAAAAAATTTTCCATCAGACAGGAAAAATTTTCCATCAGACAGGAAAAAATTTTCCATCAGACAGGAAAAAATTTTCCATCAGACAGGAAAAAATTTTCCATCAGACAGGAAAAAATTTTCCATCAGACAGGAAAAAATTTTCCATCAGACAGGAAAAAATTTTCCATCAGACAGGAAAAAATTTTCCATCAGACAGGAAAAAATTTTCCATCAGACAGGAAAAAATTTTCCATCAGACAGGAAAATATTTTCCATCAGACAGGAAAATATTTTCCATCAGACAGGAAAAAATTTTCCATCAGACAGGAAAAAATTTTCCATCAGACAGGAAAAAATTTTCCATCAGACAGGAAAATATTTTCCCGACAACTGGAAAAATTTTTCCTTCCGACAGGACACAAACGAATGTCCGACGTACCACCAACCGAGTCCATTCCAAAGCCAGAAGAACCGACAGCCCCAGCACCACAACAGACTTACTAAGACTAAACACTTAGATTTTTCAAGCTTGACTTTTTACAATTTGAACTTTGTTCGCGTAGATATGAATTCTGAAAGAAGTATGAGGGTCTTGTATGACTTTGTACTTCTCCCATAGTTCATGTCTGTCAAACTTACCTGCCATGGACTCTTTCATAAGTTCCATGAAATCGTCTTCGGACAATCCAGGGAAAAGTATAATGTCAGTAAGTATTCTTTTAACATCCTTACTTAAACTCTTTGCTGTCTGTACACAAATGACAACTGAGATGTTAAAGTGTCTGAGCTTCTTAAGAATTCGACACATATCTTGTTCTCTGTTCTTTAACAAAGGATGAGAGGCGAAATCATCTAAGATAAGAAGACATCTATGAGGGTAAGTCTTCCAATCGTAAGATTGCAATTTCTTCGAAATGTATTCTATCTCTTTCTGTTTGTTTCTGAAGTGTTTCTTCTCTAATATTCTCTGCATTTCCTCATTTGGGTCTTTAAACTTCGAATTGACATACTCATTTATAGCATTATACTTCAAAACTCTTCTTTGGTACTTCTTTATCCAATCTAACAACTCAGATCTTTATACATACTAACTTAGACTTCTTTATAATATCTTTGAACGAATTGACGGTTTGGTCAAATTGACCAGAAGTACTACAAATAACAACTAACTCATAGAATGGGTTCTTCTCATCTAGTTCTTGTTGTTGTGCAGCCATTTTAAGATAAGTGAAAGTCTTACCCGACCCAGGTGGTGCAATTAGACCTGTTATACCATTCTGAGCAAATAAGAACTTGTCATGTATAGGCTTTATCTGAGCATTTTCTAACTTCCTCTTGTTCTTCTTCAAAACATTCTCAAATTTCTTGTCAATGTCAGCAAACTTTTTTTCTAACATATTTTTAGAAAAATTAAAATTTTTATCTTTTTGAAAATGTCTAGCGATTTCGCTATCTATATTCGAGACAACTTTTCGACAGCAAAACATCTGTCGACCATAAAATCTTACATAGTGTAAACAAGAAAGGTGAATTTGTTCTAAAGTTCTGTTTCTGGGAATATGACAAGAACCATAAAACATTAGCAGAGAAGTCTTAAAATTTGTCAATGACAGACTTGTTGACAGAGATGACGCCGATTGGAAAGATGAAGTCCAACAAAAGTTCTTAGAATGCAAAGAAGCACATGCGCTGTTCTTGAAGATGAAATAGAAACAGAATAGAGAGCTATTAAAGGACAAAGAACTTTTACATAAATATGGTTCTGAGAAATTTGACATAACTCCACCAGAGAAGAAGAAGAAGAGAGAGAAGAAAGAAAAGAAAGTAGAAGAAGAGAAGAAAGAACCAGACCAGTTCCAGAGAAAAAGAAATTTGACATGTAAAAATAAAATTTTATTTTTAGAACATTTCTGGGTCAATGTCAATGTTCTCTTCCTCTTTAGGAGCAAACACT